ACTTTATGAGCGAAGAGTTTGTGTGTCAAGACAAAAAAATGGTTTAGCAAATACGGATGAAAAACAATTTTTTGTAGGATCTAAAGTTTCAAGGCTATACCTGCATTACAGGAAAAAGTGGCATCTTGGAAACGTAAAGGTGAACCTCGTGAGCTATAAATCTTTATTTAGAGTAACTTTTTAAAAAAAATTTTAAACAGCCATTAGTGTGGCCAGTTGTGAGCAGAACTTTTCCAAGCTGAAACTAGTTAAAAGCTGAAAATAATTAAAAACTTTCTACGTTTCACAATAAATAAATTGCGGCTAATGAAATTTAACAATAGGTGACTGACAGACTGACAGCATCAATTTGAAAATGTTTTTAACAAATTTTAAAACAAGTAAACCAGATAAATTGTATTTATAAAAATTTTTTAGCCAAATACACATCACAAATAGATCTAAATATTTCAGAATGAGTCATCTAAATCTAGAAGAAAAATTGTGACTTTGTAGTATTTATACCATATTTCATTAAAAACAGGCTGCTGAGCTTGAAAGATACAAAATAAGATTAGAAAACATCGAGATTTCCATGTCTTTATAAAAAACAAAACCTTTACGCTAAAATCTGTTTTAGTTGACAAAATACTGAAAAAACTAAACAACCAAATGTGGTCACCGAGTCAGCTCAGTTTGTGGAAGTGCCATGTCTAGCGCTGTTATCACGCGATGGCACGGTTTTAATACTGTCTGTCCAATACTCAAAGACCATCACATATATATACAGTATTGTATGAATTCTACCGACTTAACGATAGCACAAAATTTCATGCATTCAAAAAAACCCACACGTCGCCTAAAAACTAAACTCAACGTTATAATAAAATCAACAAAAAAAAACATCTCAAGAAAAAAATCCAGCTACCCCTATTCGAATACTCACCTGGATACTTTTATGGCAACACCACACCAAAACGCACAAAAACAACCCCCTTCGACTTATCATCAGCCAAATTCCGACAGTAACATACCTGTAACGGGTTCGATATTAACTAAACGCAACGACAGATATATTATTAATCCTCCTTTATTAAAACCTAACTAAATAATTAATCGAATAAACCAAATTAACGAAAATGCAACGATACAATAACCAACTTTACTAATGTCGACTCCGGCACAAGAGCCGCAGAAAAGAAAGAGGCTTAACTTATTTGCGCAGGCTATTTATAGACTTGCACGGTGCTCTCTCCTAGGTAAGCGCTTGTACTTTGGTCTAGTAGCCAACCCACGTGACCATACGGCGCTCTCCCCTAGGTAAGCACACGTGCTTTGTGCTAGTAACTAGCCCACGTGACCATGTAATGGAACAATTTCCATTACACATACCCTATTGTCAAACATCTAAACAAAATTCACCAAACATCAAATCATATTGCTTTTATGGATGTCGAATCCTTGTTTACAAATGTTCCCATTTATGACACAATGGATATTATCATCAATAGTGTTTATCACCCAGATATGGTCCTTTTAAAAATACCAAAAACACCTCCAAAATCTCTCTTCCAAATCTGCACCACCGAAGCACCTTTCCACACCCCACAGGCAAGCTTTACAAATTCACGGTGTAGACATGGGCTCATCCCTAGGTGTCCTGTTCGCAAAGTTCTTCTTAGGACATATTGAGAGCAAAACATTTATGCCAGATATGTTGACGATATCTTCATCGCATACGATGATCCGGAACAAGTCAACCAACTACTAGCAAACCTGAACCGATCAAAATTTAATTTCACTATCGAGCACGAAATCAATTAATCAGTCAGTCAGTTAGTCAGTCCGTCCGTCCGTCGGTCGGTCAGTCAGTCAGTCAATCAAACAGTCAGTCTGTTAGCCAGTTCAATCAATAAATCAATCGATGTTCAACAGCGCTCCTCAATTAATTTTGGTTTTGAAATTCGCTCTGAACTTTGTAAATAATGGAGAAGTCGTCAGAGAAGGAGGTTGAGAGTTCCATAGAAAAAGGCCAAAAAAAGCAAAAGCAGATTTAGCAATAGTGTTTAACACGAGTTAAGAAGAAATGAGAACAAGAAGACGATTGTAAACCGGAGTGTTTAATTTCAATTAATATATTTGATAAGTACTTAGGAAATATTTTAGATTGAGACTTATACATAAATGTGCAAATTTTAAAAATTGTTCTATATTTTATAGGTAACCAGTGCAAGAGAACAAGACATGGAAATATATGAGATAAAAACGGGCACGAGCAACTAGACGAGCAGCTGAGTTAAAAGCTTTACTTAAAGGATAGAGTGTAGAATTAGGAAGACCATAGTAGAGCGAGTTACAATAATCAATCTTAGATAAGACTAACGAAGTAACAAGAAAAAAGGTAGGATAGTCAAGAAAAGGCAAAAGTTTTTTTATTCTAAGTAGATAAAAGTAAGAACTTCTAACAATACTATTAATCTAAGAAAAAAGAGACATGCTAAAATCAAAGATAAATTACTTGGGTGTATTACAATCGTCAATAATTAAATTTCTTTCGTCGGATGTTTCTTGGGCGTAAATTCTCAGTATTATAATTATTAATAAATATGAGCGCGGGCAAAGCCTCTTGCCAAACTATATATAGAAAAAAAATCGAAAAATCAATTAAAATAAACATGTTATGATTGATCAAATATTCTCACACATTTCCCAATATACCTTTGACAATACATTCACACACTGGTTAAAATGCACAGATACCAACAATCAAATATCTTCCCCAAAACATACCTGCCATATTTTCAACACATGTACATTTCTCCTATTCGCTTCCCAGATAATTGTTATCGTTAATTCACTCGCAATTCTTCGTAATAAACTCTTCCTCGGAAGTTATCGCTATTCTGCTTGCAGATCGCACACAAAACTTCCCTGCGATAGGACTCCTTTTTGCTTGTTCATTTGTCTATTTATATAGATCATAGATGTTTCAATGTAATAGCCTCTAAATACAAAACTTCATACGCTCTTATTGCTTAGTAGGCTTATGTGCTGCGCGCGTAAGAGTCTTGTTATGCAGTGCAATTATATAATTTCGTTTTTTATTTTATTTAAACAAAACAAGAAAACTGTTTTAATAACTAATTTTTTTCATTAATCAAAAGTTTATGAAATCAAAAAATATATTATGAAAATATTTTTTTTACTTTTCAACTTTTTTTAATTCATTGTTTTTATTAAATTTATTTTTATTATTTACACCGTCATTAATATTTTTTAACGAATTTTTAACATCCCTTTTTTTAACATTTTTTGCAACATCCCTCCGCTATTGCATATTTTCCAGAGATTCTTGGCACCTTTTGACCACTTAAGGCCTGCTAAAGACTAGGGGCCGTTGGTTTTCTTCGTGTTGTCATAGGAATATTTTGGGGAAAACTTCTAACATCCGGACACCCATCCTGACGACAACCACCAGTTATAAGCGGTGGGCCTAGCCTTTGCTCAAAACCCGCAAGGCAGCGTGGATGCAGTTTTATGTCATGCCCAGGACCAAAATTAATTAATAAAGGATGAAAAAAAATATGGCATCCGATGATTAAAATAATATTAAGATAATAACGATAATAAGTTCCTAACTAACTCCATTGACAATTTTTTGCAACAATGTTTTGATAAATTTTATAAAATCATCAACTCAACTTACAACACGTACTAGCCAACATCAAACATTACAATTAGATTCATCAGCCCATTCATCAAATATCTACTTCACCAAAAAAAGTAAATTCATGAGATCAGGATCCACCTTCAAATCCGCAGCGATTACCAAATACATCAATAAACTAATCATCAACTTTAACTCAAAAACTTTCACTAATAGTAAGCGTGGAAGCGAAGCCTTGCGGGTTTCAAGTCATCAAGATTAGAGGCTTCTGACAAATCATTCAACGCGTCAACCTCACAGCAAATTGATGCCGACACACTCAACACCCACTCTGCTTCCATGTCAACCGACTTGTCCTGCAAAACTCCACCAACAAAAGCAACAACAATCAATAAGTCGTCAACATCAAAAATTTATCCCATACTCCGTCCTACACAATCTAACGAAGTCCAGACAGTCTACCAGCATGGTTTCTACAAACCATTGCTCCATTCATTTCCAGCAACTTAAGTTCACTCTACAATCACTGCTTTATGCATTCATTCATCCCATCACAATGGAAATCCAGCACAATCCATCCTATACCTAAAACAAAATACCTATCATCACCAATAGATTATCGCCCAATATCTATCACTCGCATACTTTCACGTATTCTAGGAAAATTCATCGTTAGGTCATTCATCTATCCATGTTTCAACCATTCATCCATCAAACCACTATTATAAGATCAGTTTGCACTTCGCCTTACAGGTTCATCTACATCCGCCATCATCTCTCTTCTTTCCTTAAAATAAATAATTATGTTCATCTTATTGCTCTCGAATTTTCTAAAGCTTTTGACACTTTCAATCACATCTCACTTTCAATAAGTTAGCTTCTCTTCCTCTACCTGACAACATTTACAATATTATATAAAGAAAATTGTAAAGAAAATGTGAATAACGAATGTGGAAAAATGGCGACACGAACGGTTGTTGTGAGCGAAGTTCTCTATTTTTTGTCGAACAATTTCTTACATTTTAATAGTGAAACATTTATTTGCAATATATCGGAATTTTATTTTAATGACCATTTTGCTATTGCTTTAAAACTACTGAAAATTGAATTGGATAATTTAAAAATTGATAAATTTGATGATAAATTTTTTTCACGCTGTCTGTATAGGCGTGATAAATTAATTGCCTGTATTACAGTTTTTAATCATTTAAAAGTTGAGAATTGTCTGGATAAATGTCCCATGTTTGCAAGTGTAAATTTGATTAAAATTCCTCATTTTGAAAACGTTATTAAATTAAATTTCAATACTTTGAGGGAAGAAATAAAGGACATGATTTCCACACAACAGAATAAAATGTTGCAAAGACTTGATGCTCACATCATTGAAATATCTACACTGAATGAAAAAATAAACAAATTACCTTTTAATAATTCTGTGTTGGCTCCTTCTAAAATGAAAAAATGTTGTGAATCTGAGATCAGTTTACAAAAAACATCTGTTTCTAAACCCTGGGTGGGCATTCCTATTTCTCAGTTATCTAATTCAGATAAAGATGTTAAAATTGAAAGTAACTCAAATCTAGATTCTGTTTCTCATGTTGATAAAATTGAATTTCGTAGTTTAATTCAAGATTCCAATAATAATATGAACTCTGGTGCTGAGGATAGTGATGCTGGGTTTCAAAATGTCACAATCAGACGTAGAGGTACTAAACGACCCCAAGTTAATAGTTTACCTCAGGCTAATAAAATTAAACATAAAAAAAACTAATATCTCCAGAGTGGTTGGAACCTTGGCTGACTCTGAGATTTTCAGTTTCAAATTAAAAGGTATTGAGAAGCGCTGTGTGCTTTATCTGGGAAAGATTGCTCCTTGCTCCAAAGAGGATGTTGAAGAACATCTATCTAACTTTAACTTTATTACTGTCAATCCTACTGGTTCAAAGAAAATTTCTAATATATCCGCTAAAGTTTCTGAGAATTCAAAGAAATTCAAAGAAAATTCAAAGTTTCTTTGAATTCTCAGAAACTTTGTGATAATTCCTCTAATATTACTGTTGATACTGTTGATCCTAATGGTACAATGAAAACTTCTGATCAATCTTCTGAAAACTCATCTGTTTTAAGCTCTGCTTTCAAAATCTGTATACTGGAAAGTCAGAAAGATAAACTTTTCAACTCAGATATATGGCCTCGTCATGCTATTGTCAGAGACTGGATTTTTAAAACCAAGGACAACAATTCTGTTAATCATGGCTGATCTAAGTTTACTTAATAAAATATGTTGCCCAGTGTTTCTTAACAGTTGCTACAATTTTAAGTTGGACACTTTAAAGGATGATTTATGCAATCTGTATGGAGATATTGATGACTATAAATTTAGTATCCTTCATTTGAATGCTAGAAGCCTGTTCCACAAGATAGATGACCTTGTATTGTTTTTATCGTTTTTCCCAATAAAGTTCTCAGTTATTTTTATTACTGAAACCTGGCTAAATGAGCGCTCGGCTCTGGTGATGAAGTTTCCTGGTTATGAGTTTGTTTTCAACAATCGAGTTAACAGAAAAGGTGTTGGAGTCGGCATGTTTATCTCAAGGAGTTTGAATTTTGAGACTTGTTACCAGGATAATTTGAATCTTGAATCTATTGAATCAGTTTCAGTTAATGTACACTTAAACAGAAATAGAACAATCAAATTAATTGCCATTTATCATCCTCCTAACACTAATATTGATGAGTTTTTTAAATTTTTTGAGATATTTTTACAAAATTCAGGGTTTTCCACTTACCTTGTTGGTGACTTCAACGTTGATCTTGGGTCATATATAAAAAATAAATTCAATTTTGAAATGATGCTTTCACATTACAAGTTCCAGCCTCTTATTAATCTACCAACTAGAGTCTCAACCTTCTCCTCCTCAGTTATTGATAATATTTTGACAAATATGGATAATTCTTATAATTGTGGTGGAGTTATCTCAGATTTGTCTGATCATTTTCCAATTTTCTGTTTGATAAAAAGCAATGAAGAAGTTTCTAACAATTCAACATCTACTACCTGTAATTTCTTGCATTATGATATACCTATTATTAAAAACATTTTATCAAATTTCAACTGGGACCAAATTATCTTTGATTTTGATGTTGATAGTAGCTTAAATAAATTTTTTGAGGTTTTCAAAGCAGCCCTAGATTATGAAACATCTACCAGGACTCACTTTAGTAGTAAATTCAAAAAATCCTGGATGAATACCAACCTTTTGAATCTCTGTAAAGAAAAAAATAGATTGTATGTCAAGCTTGTAAAAAACCCTTCCTTAATAAATCTTGCTAATTATAAATCAGCTAGAAATCATTTCACTAAGATGAAACGTGTTGCTGAAAAAATTTTTTTGAACAATTTAGTAAAAATTGTAATGATATCAAAGCAAATTGGCATTTAATTAATGATGTCTTGAATAAAAATAAAGCTTCTACTCAAATCAACTCAGTAATTCATGGCAATAGCATCATCTCTGATAAAATGGATATTTGCAACATACTAAATAACAATTTTGTGGATTCGATAAATTTACTGCAGAATAGATTTATGAATAACACCAAGCATGAAATCTACTCTCCTTGTAGTTTGTGTTCATTCTATCAGGACGTGGTTGATGTGGATGAGGTTTATTCTGTTGTTAGATCATTTAAACCCAATAGATCAACCTCAGATGATGGATTTAATATGCACATGGTTAAATTATTTATTGATGAGATTATTGTTCCATTGACTCACATTTGCAATATCTCAATCCAATCTGCTACTTTTCCTAAAGTTCTCAAATTGGCAAAAATTATTCCTGTCTTCAAAAAAGGCTCTAAGCAAGATGTTGGTAATTACAGACCAATTTCTATTTTATCACCATTTTCCAAGATTCTTGACAAAATTGTAAGATGCAGAATGATTTCATTTCTTAATAAATTCAACATTTTATCCGAAAATCAGTATGGATTCCGTAACAAACATTCAACTGAATTGGCTATCACTGAGCTTACTCAACGAGTCTTGTACAACATGAATGAGAAATGCCTAACCCTGGTTATTTTTATTGATTTGTCTAAAGCCTTTGATGTGATCAACCATACATTGCTTCTAAAGAAATTGAATCATTACGGTTTTCGTGACAAAATTTTTTCCTGGCTGGCAAGTTATTTGGGGAAAAGAAGTCAATATACAAAGATTGGTGACAACTGTTCAACTATTTTGCCTCTCACTTGTGGTGTGCCTCAAGGTTCGATACTGGGACCACTGTTGTTTTTACTATTTGTCAATGACTTACCAAATGTTTCGTCAATATTCCGTTGTATTTTATATGCCGATGATACCAATATTTTTTATTCTTCTTCTAATTTGGTTAATGACAATTTATTAATTAATCAGGAGCTATCTAAATTTGAACATTGGTTTATTATAAACAAACTTATAATTAATATTGATAAGTGCATTTACACTATTATGGGTTCTAAAATATTAACAAATATTTGTCCTGATTTAAATATTCATTTGGATGGCTGTTCTATTAAAAGGTCTGACTCTATTAAATTTTTAGGGGTCATACTTCAAAGTAATTTAAACTGGAATGAACACATTGTTTCAGTCAAAAATAAAACTAGAAATTTTCTTTTTATTATTAATAAACTAAAGAACAAATTTAATAAGAAAACTTTGCTCATTTTGTATAACAGTTTCATTTTCCATATTTGTCATATTGTAACATCATTTGGGGTAACAGCCCTGCCTACATTATTAATGACATATTTATTATGCAAAAATTCTTTTTAAAAATTTTTTATAATTTACACTATAGATCGCATGTTAATCATTTATTTCTTTCATCCAACATCCTAACTATTTTTCAATTGAACATCTACTTTTCATCTGTATTTATTTTTAAGTTTGTACACAGTTTATTGCCACCATTTTTTATTAATTGTTTTCACTTCAAATCTGATATTCATAATGTGGCTACTAGACAACATAACACTTTTTATTTATACCCTGTCCGATTGAAATTGATTCATCAAAGTATTTTTTTTAATGGTCCAAGAATCTGGGATGATATTTTACCTGCTTCTGTAAAGGATATTTCTAGCTTTGCCTTGTTTAAAAATGCTGTTAAATCTTTTATTAAGCTGTATGCGCCACCTTGAGGCTTGAATATACTTAAATTTAGTTCAAGTATAAATAATTTAGGTGAGGGACAAATTTTAATAAATTGTGTTTTGGTTTTGAATGTACTGTTGATATTGCAGCTGTTGCTGATGATTCTGTTCTTGGTGTTATCAATGGTTGATGAACATATAGGATGATGATGATTGTACGTTGGTGTTTTAGTTAATGTACATATATGTGTTTATATATGTACAAAGTCGAATATTTATGTATCTATTATTTTTATTGTTTCAGTATATGTATTCGCATATGCTTGTGTGTTTATATATGTGGAAAAACGAACATTTATATATCTATTAATTTTATGACATCGGTGTATGTACTCATTCATATATGCCTGTGTGTTTTACGTATATACTCAGAGCTGAACACTTATATATTTATTATTTTGATTGCTTCAGTGAATGTATTCATATGTGCTTATGTGTTTATGTATGAACATTTATATATCCGTTACTTTTATTGCATCAGTATATATTTTCATGCATATTTGTGTGTTTATACATGTGGAAAAACGATGATCCATATATCTATTTCTTTTATTACATCAATGTATGTATTCATACGTGAGTATGTGTTTATAAATGTGGAAGAATAAACATCTATATATCTATTATTTTTATTGCATCAATGTATGTATGTTCATATTAATGTCAATATTACTATGGGTTTTTATATGTATGGAAACGAATCATTTATATATCTTATATGTTTATATATATTCATGCATACTGATTACATCAGTATATATATATATACATATGTGCGTATGTATTTATATATGACATCGGTATATGTATTCATTCATATATGCTAAAATAATGCTTGTGTTTTATATATGTACAGAGCTGAACATTTATATATCCATTATTTTGATTACTTCAGTATATGTATATACTGTTTGTTTATATATGTACTAAGATGAACATTTATATATCTATTGCTTTTATTACATCAGTATATATATTCATGCATACTTATGTGTTTATATATGTAGAAAAACGAAGATCCATATATCTATTACTTTTAATCAGTGTATGTATTCAGACGTGATTTTGTTTTTAAATTGCATATCCTATCACGGTGGTCTGTACAAGTTTTGATTTTCTTATGGGATCTCCGTAAATCCTCACAATCTCAAATCCTTTCTTTTATTTTCATTTTGTGTTTCGGATTTAAATAAATGAATTTCTGATATAATAAATTTTATTTTAATAGGAGTCATTCTACTTTCTTTAGCTATACTCTTTCATCTACTCCACCTATTAACTCTAGCGTAGCTCAAGGTTCTGTCCTTGGACCATCTACCTTTACTTCTACTCTCAAAACTTTTGATAGCTCTAATCACATCATCAGATACGCTGATTACACCTACCTTTCATCCCATCATCTAACATCATCTGTACATAATATGAGTTTTAACCTAGGTGACAAAAATACTAAATCATTTATAAAAAAGATGAATAACAATGGCCCCAAGAAAGATCCTTGAGGAACGCCACATTCAAATGGAGACAGATGACCTAGTCGCCAACCGACACATACCGAGTTCTTTCAGATAAATAACTGCTAATCCAATCATGTGCAACATCTTTGACACCCGCATTAAAGTTTAGTTAATAAAACATCGTGACGAACTGTGTCAAACGCCTTTGGCAATTTCAATAAAAACATCTATATATGTAATTTAAAATCAATGTTTTCCATAACGTATTGTTGCAAATCTAAAATGGCTTACTTAGTAGAGCTGTTTTTTCGAAAACCATATTGAAACCATACTCTCATATTGGAGTTATCAATCTAAGTTTGAGGCTACTTCACTTGATGCCATCGACAGGATATTCACGCTCTCACTCCTTCTACAGACCAGACATGAATTTGGTAGTCCTCTTTGGATTGCCTACGTTGACTTGAGAGCGGCTTTTGATTCATTCAGTCAACAGGGATGCTATGTGGCTGCTGTTCCGTGGTCTGGTTATCCCCGATCACCTGGTAAAACTGCTTAGGACTCTATACACCCACACGTTGAGCTGTGTTAGATCGGAGGGGCAATGCTCTCGGTGGTTAGATTGATAGTAGCGTCAGGCAGGAGTGTATACTTGCACGGGATGATTTCTTGGCCCCGATGGATTGGATCATGTGGCGTTCCGTACACAAAGGTATGCTCGGCGCCACAATCGGCACGGAGGTGTTCACGGACCTGGACTATGCAGATAATGTCGCTCTGCCTGCTGAGATGCGAGACGTTCTCATACTGTCGTTGGCTACCATGTCCGAAAAGGCAAAGCCTTTTGGTTTAGAAATCAACTGGGACAAAACGAAAATTCTGGCAATATCTCTGAGCGATTCGGCACCTGCGTCTGTCTCTGTGCTGGGTAATGACGTACAGATTGTGGATTCGTTTTCATATCTCGGCTTCCAAACAGTAATGACGCTAAAATTTCGCTTCTAATCATTTTCCGCGCGTGTATGAGGTCCCTGGATTGTGGATATAGCACTCGGGCATTTCGGTGACGACCAAAGTTCGATTGTATAACGTATACATCATCCCTGTCTGTAGGTGATCTGTTCTATATAAACCTCTTCATAAGAAATTTTCTCACTCATCTTTTTCCGCTCAACATTTTCAAGACTTTTTTGTAAATAAAATTAATTCTTTAAGAACATCTAATTTTAATTTTTCTCCTCATAACTTTACTAAACTTACTACTGAATCTTTTTCTGTATTTACTCCTATAAATCTTATAGAACTTACTAAAATTATTAATTCTATGTCATCTACAACTTGTTCTCTAGATCTACTTTCTTCTAATTTACTTGAAGAATTTTCTTCAATATTTTATCCTATCATTCTCAAATTAGTTAATTTATCTCTTTCAACCTCCAAATTTCCTACTTCTTAAGAGAATTCTATTGTTATACCTATTCTTAAAATCTTATCCTTTTTATCTAATAATAGACTTGTTACTAATATTACTTTCATCTCTAAAATGATAGAAAAAGTAGTTTACAACCAATTGTCGTCTTATCTAAACTCTAACTCCTTGCTACATGTATCTCAATCTGGTTTCAGACCTGCTCACAGTACTGAAACTTCTCTACTCAAAATACATAACGATATCCTTCTCTCTAGTGACAATAGTAATCTTACATTACTTGCTTTTGACGTTTCCTCTGCTTTTGATACAGTTGATCATCTTATTTTCTTGAGGCTGCTATTTCTTTCTTTTAATATTACGATTCTTGTCTAATAGTTTTCTTCTTATCTCTGTAATCGTATTTCTTTTGTTGTTCTCAATAATTCTACTTCTAACTCCTCTACTCTCACTTTCGGAATACAGGGTTCTATCCCGGGCCTTCTTCTTTTTATACTCTATACTTCTGAACTACCTCGTATTATTAATAATTTTTCTTCCACTAGTCTACTATATGCTAATGATTTTTATAATCATCCTTCCTTTCCTCCATCTAATCTCAATAGTGTTCTTCATAATTTATCTCTGTCTTTCTTCAATTATCGCTTGGTTTGACTCTATGTGTCTTAAACTTAATCCTTCTAAATTTGAGTTTGTTTTAATAAATCTAAACACTCTATTACTATTCCTCCTATAATCTTACCTGATTCTAAAACTTTTGATGTTTCTCACAAGTTTCGTAGTCTAGGCTTTATCTTTGATCCTAATATGTCTCTTTCTTAGATTAATAATGTTGTTAAAAGTTCTTAGTTTTATCTACGTAGAATAAATTTTTTTTGCTTTTCTTGATGATCCTACTCTTCTCCTTCTAGTCTTATCTAGGATTGATTATTGCAACTCGCTCTACTATGGTCTTCCTGATTCTATACTCTATCCTTTAAGTAAAGCTTTTAACCCTGCTGCTCGTTTTGTAGCTCGTGCCACTTTCTTTTCTCCATATCTTGTTCTCTTGCACTGGCTACCTATAAAATATAGAATAATTTTTAAAATTTGCACCTTTATGTATAAGTCTCAATCTTAATTACTTCTTAAGTACCTACTTATCAGATATATTAATTGAAACTAAACGTCCCGGTTTACGATCGTCTTCTTGTTCTCCCTTTTCTTAACACGTGTTAAACACTCCTTTGCCAAATCTGCTTTTGCTTTTTCTGGCCCTTTTCTCTGGAACTCTCTACCTACTTCTCTGACTACCTCTCCATCACTAACAAAGTTCAGAGCGGATCTCAAAATCCATCTGTTTGCAAAATTCATGGAGGAGCGCTGTTGAACATCGCGGAAATAGCGCTTTATAAGCTAATTGATTGAATTGAATCCCCGTGCTGCTCTATGGATGCAGGCATGGTCAACTACTGGTGCTGATTTGAAGAGGCTAGGCGCTACAGATCAATGGTGCTTGCGCAGGATCCTTCCTATGACTTACCGCGATCGCGTCACCAACGTTGAGTTGAGAAGAACACAGCAGCCCTCCGTTTCCTCACTTTTGTTCAGACGTCGTCCAAACCTCTTTAACCACATAGCTCGTGCCAGTCCAATGAAGGATCATTACCGGGCTATATTAGCTGTCATAGACCGACCGCCACCGGAATGTACTCGACGGCGCGGCCGTCCAAAACACTCATGGATCCGTTCAGTGGAGAAGAACCTGTTACTCATCAACTTCGGTCCTACTCGGCCTGGAGATTTGCTCGTGATCGCTTGAAGTGGAGGCACCTTGTGAACACGGCAACGTCCCGTTATGGGGCACGCCCATAATAAAAATAATAGTGATTATGATTAACAAGATTGTACCTGTCGAAAAAAGTGGATAAATATGAATGAACTATAGATTTATACAATGTTTGAGAGTAACAATAATTGATGACACAGTTTGCTTGGGATGTGGAGTTTTTAACATATTCATCATATTTTTAATTTCTTCTTTTGTGACGTGTGGCCAAGAAAAATTGTGACTATTATAAGGGGGTAACAATTTCATGAAATCATTTGCGAAAGTTTTATTTTTTAAACAGCAATGAGCTGAAAATGTTTTATTAAAAGTCTCACACATTCCAAATGTGCCATCCTTGATTTTGTCATTTATATTAGTTAATTTAGGAAATTTTGAGTTGAAGTTTTTATTCATTGATTAATTAATAATAGACAAAGTTTGTTTTAAATTATTTTTATTAATTTCTAAATTGTCTCTAATAAATTTCTTTTTAGCAAGGCGCTTAATGGTAGTAAGTTTTTATATTTAGTATGTTAATTTATTAGAAGCGGTAGGATTTTTTAGGTAAACAGAATTCAATTTATTTTTCATCTTAGATGTCAAAACTCCAACTGTTAACAATGGGCGTTTTCTATTAAAAATTCGTGAATTACGTTCAATTGAAGAACATTATTCGAAAATTTTGTTTTGAAAATTTTCAAAAACGTGGAAGAAGTTTTGTTCTTATTATCTTGATCCAAAACTAAGCTCTAATCAAAGCTGACAAGATTTACGTAAGGGCGCAATATTACGTTCAGAAAAATCAAGAAATTTATATTATATTTTATCTTATGATATTATTAGGTACTTATTTTATAGTACTCGTTATTCATACTTGTGTTGAATACATTTATTTTTAACTACATTTTATGAGGAATACCTACGTCATCAACACTGACAAACTCATATATATATATATATATATATATATATATATATATATAGAGAGAGAGAGAGAGAGAGAACACATACAATCAATCAGCGTTCGTTTAGCGTCAAGAGACCCAGTTCCCCGTGGTAGGACATTGTTTTATTTGCCAACTCAAGGATGCGGTTGCAAACTCAAGGATGCGGTTGCCATTTTCATTCCGCTCTCCATAGCCAAAACCGCCATGTACGTTGTCAAAATCATCTGTTTTCTCTCCAACGTGGCCATTGAGATCCCCTCAAATAAAGATTGTTTCAGATTTTGGTATTGTTGAGATGGTGTCAGAGAACGCAGCCCAGAAGTCATTTTTCATCTCTTCTGATTCGCCTGTCTGTGGTGCGTATGCCGAAAAAATAATCATTGTTTGCTTTTCTATAATAATCTATTCTAGGCGAAGTTTGATCCACATGAGACGTGAATAAATCCTTTTAATATCCAGTACTTCTTGGGTTAGCGGTTCTTTGACAAAAATTCCAACACCATTTTTAGCCGTCTTTTGATCATTCCAGAATAGTTTATATTTTTCTTTGTCTGAGTCGGGTCTCCTGAAGGCAGCAGATGTCAATCCTTCTACGCTCGAATATTTCTGCGATTTCCATGCTGCGGCCAGTCAGTGATCCAACATTGAGCGTTCCAATTATAAGTACCATAGAGGAGCCATTCAGAATTTTTCTGCAACATCCCTCCGCTATTGCATACTTCCCAGGGATTCTTAGCACTCGTTGACCACTTAAGGCCTGCTGGGGACTATGGGCCGTTTGTTTTCTATGTGATGGCATAGGAATTATTTTGAGGAAAAATTTTTACATCCGGACACCCATCCTGACGACAACCACCAGTTATAAGCGGTGGGCCTAGCCTTTTGCTCAAAAGCACTCAAGGCAGCGTGGATGCAGTTTTAAGTCATGCCCAGGACCGATATATGCATATATATATATACACCCATATGTATATATACATATATCGATATATACATATGCATATATCGATGTATATATACGTACATATATATACACACAAATATATATACACACAAATATATATATATATATATGCAGTAAACAACCCTGTTACTATTTGCGGCATGTTTTGGTTACATTACAAATTTATCGAAACTTAAAACGTAAACAGCCACTGAAAACAAGTAAAGGTTTGAAACCATTTTTGGTATTTTCGAAGTTTATTAACCTTTTCCTCGTCAACTATGACAAAAGCATTCGGATTAAAACAAAGAAACATTAAAATCGTTTCACGCTTGAATTAAAGGTTAATGAAGATCGAAAAATCATTAAATCATAGAAACAACCTTTTAAAACTAAAATTTGCTCAATCAATGAGATCAAGTCCATGGAAAAAAGTTACAAAATGCAGCCACGCCAACAAATAGATAAATGTGTGTATATGCTGAAAAAAATTTGTTAAACAAGCTTTCATTCCAATTTATCAATTCACTCTCTGTTAACGTGTCTGTAATAACTTTAGTTCTCTCGTGAAGACTATTCAATTTCTGTTTATTCACTTTGACTTTTTTGATAATCGTGGTCGTAGACCTGTATCTTGAATGGTTATTTTCAACAGTAGATTTACAAATGTCTTTGCCGCAAACATCGAAAACGGATGAATTTTTAAATTGATCATCATTAATATTTTCTTTCCACATAGCTATTGCTATTTTTTCTTCCTGCGTTATACTCTTTTGTGCAAGGAACCAGTAAACAACAGGGCATGAAGAACAGATTAATCTTGTTATTACCTAACAAATTTAGTTAAAATTAATTGATAATTACAAAATAATGACTAAAAATGGATGAAGATGATTGAAGATATAGAAAATGCTGATGATGTTTGTCTGACTGCAGAATGCATTGGCAAGGCTCGTAGTACTGATAGGAAAAATGATGCCAGTTTTAATTCAAAAAATAAAATGGCTGGCCATTAAATTAGACCACGAAGAAAAGTTAACTTAAACTTGCCAAAGATTAATGTAATTAGGAAGCGAACTAAAAGGAGGGACAGAAAAAGAAACCAAAAAAAGAATAGCAAGATTGCCCTAAAACCAAAATAAAGCTGATGAAAAAACATAAAAAGAAATAAAAAATCCCATTAGCAGGATTGCGCTTTATTAAACTGCAGAAAACGTTTAAAATACATGATGCGAAGCTAATAACAAAAGTGATTTTCAACATTTGTGTGATACAGATGCTGACGCATAGATGTGAGGCTTGGAAAGTCACAAAAACTGTTGAACGCTGCGGAAAACAAGTGGGTCAGAAGAATAATGAAGATCAGCTACAAAGATCACGTGCCAAAAGCAGATTCTCAAAAGCTTCTAATATTAATCGCAAAAAAAATGGCGAGATGATCTGTTTGAAGATGTAAAAAAACAGCGCTAGAGAAACTAAAAAAACAAATCTGCACCGTTGAAAAGAACAATTGTTATCTTAATGAGAGATAACACTTCTTCGTACTGAAAAAATATGACTTATGGAAAAAAATATTTCCAAATATCTTTGTAATGATTGTTTTAATTTGTTGAAAAAATAGAAACGTTTCCTTTTATACTGACAACATGGTAGTAGTAGTAGTAGCAGCAGCAGTAGTAGTAGTGCTGTTCTGGAGGTTATCTAGAGAGCATGCTGTCAGACATGCTAGCACTTCAGATTCGTTGATTTACCTGCTTTAAATTTGTTCATTGATTGTGCCTTAACAAGTTCATATGGTCATGAGTTCCAAGTATTTGCGACTCTATTTAATAAATAATTCTCTCCGCCTCTATGTCGTGTTAATTCTTGTTAACAACTGAATCAAATCTCCTCTTTTTCTTTTTTCCACCAATGTCGTTAATCCTAATTTTTTAAGACGATCTTCGTAAACTAGGTTTCTTATAGATGGAACCAACTTTGTTGCTCTGTGCTAGACTCTTTAGATCACCTCGCTATCACCCTTTAGATCTGGTGACCAAACTGATACTGCAACTCCAACAGTGGACGAATAAAAGTTAGGTATAATTACAAAGCAACTTATAATCAAATTCCCCAAAAGAATTTTTTATTCGACTAAACATTTTGATTGTTTTGTTTGATGCTGTGATGACTGGATTTTTACATTTTAAATTATTTGAAAAAATCACTCCAAGATCTCTCTCGGATTCAAATTCAGCTAGAAGTCAATCAATCTTCGTTTAGCGTCCAGAGACCCAGTTTCCCGAGGTAGGACGTTGTTTTCTTTGCCATCAACTTTTTGCGCCAAATTAGACGATTAGTTGTATCCATTTCATTTAAATTTAGAGCTTTCATGTCTTGCTCGATTGTTTGTGACCAGGACTTTTTGGACAGCCTTTGGGACGTGTGCCAGGTACTTCAACATCTGCAAGAGAAGTTATGGCACTATTTCCACTTCGTTTGACATGACCAAACCACCGCAGACGGTGTTGCCTGCATTCGTCCTTTATATCATCTAAACCAGCACGACGCAGGATTTCGGTCGATTTGATGTGGTCCTTCAGACTAATTCGTTGTATCCATCGGAGCATTTTCATGTCGGTTCGTCGAAGTTGTTGTTCCAGTTTGGTTGTCATTGGCCATGTTTCTGCACCATATAACAAGACCGGACGTATCACAGATTTATAAAGTCTTGATCGTAGTTGTAGTGGGATGTCATGCCACATCAATGTAGAGGCAAGGAGATGCCATTTATTCCAGGCTGCACGTATGCAGGCTCGAAAGGCAGCTTCAGCTGTTCCAGTACAATCCAGAAAATCCCCTAGATAATGAAACGATGTGACTTTCTCTAACTTAATGGCTTCAAAAACATTGCTATTTCGAATTTGTTGTTGTGGATTGATGCAAGCAGGACAAACAAAATTAGACACTTTAGATAAAGTACCAATTATTTTTGAACAACGTTTGTGATACCGCTGGTTACAATGCTGACACTTGATTGAATTGTTACCTACACCAGCTTTACAAACTGAACAGGGCCATCCTCCAGTAGCTGTGAATTGGATGGGTTCACCAGTGTTCATTGCTTTGGTTTTGCTGATGCTGACTTTGAATCCATGATCGGCGAGTCTGGTGTTCCAATCTTCAAACATCTGTGCTGCATTCTGCTCAGACGTGGCTGTTAAAACGATATCATCAGCATATATTAGATTCTAAATGTCACAAGTGCGTATCGGTTTTGTGATTTCTTCCATCACAGTTATAAATAACAGTGAACTGAGAATCGAGCCTTGGTGAACTCCAACGCCGATGTCAAATGCATCAGTGTTTCCAACCGTTGTGCTGACGAGTGTCTTAGTATTCGTATACATTTCCATCACAAGTCGAACAAGATATTCTGGAATGAGTTGTCGACGTAAACTCCACCTGATTGCTTCGCTGGGAACTCGACCAAATGCTTTTTCAAGGTCTACAAAAATGTGTGATAGTTGTTGATGCTTTGCGAGGTACTTCTCTTGCAGTTGCCGAAGGATGTGAATTGCATCAATTGTTGATTTCCCTGCAAAAAAACCAAATTGATAATTTCCGATTGTGATGCACGACGTTAATCTTCTCTCAATGATTTCCTCGACAATATTTAGGGAGTGTTCCAACAGACGTATTGCCCGATATGATGAACAGTTCAATGGATCACCTTTGCCTTTGTATAGCGGAACTGTCATGCTATAGTTCCATTCAGTCGGCATTGAGCAATTTCTCCAAACTTCAAGGCAAAAGTGTAGTAACGTTTGGATACCTGCAATACCAGATGCTTTGATAATGTCATTTGTGAGTCCAGAGGGCCTTGCTGCCTTTCCATCCTTCATAGCTTTCAGCTTCTGTAAGCTCCAGTGATATCTGGAATCGGAACTTCGATGGGTGGATCATCAAAGTTGACATTGATGGATTTGTTTCATTTAACAGACGGTTGAAGTATTCTCTCCACTGTAGCTTGATCTCATCTTGTTCAAGAACCATCTCATTTTTGTCGTTTTTGATACATGAGGCACCAACTATGTCTTTTTTCGTACGCTTTGCTTATTTTGCTATACGATACAGAGATTTCATTTGTTCACCTTTGCTATTAGTGAGCCACTCTCTTCACAGATCTGTCCGAGCCAGTGCGACTTGACGTCTTGCATAGTTGTTCTTCTCACCGAAAATTTTATGGTCATCTAAAGACTTTGATTTTTGCCATTGCTTGTAAGCAGCTTTCTTTTCAGCTATTGCATTTTGTACAGTGTCATTCCACCACCATGTGTCCCGTTCATGCTGACGTTTTGTACCAGTTTTTCCACAAACTGTAGTTGCAGCGTTTATCAAAACGGTTTTGCATGTACTCCAATCTGTACTGGCTTGCGATTGGTGTCTAATTGTATGGCGACAATCTGTTGAAATTTTTCTCGATTAATATTGCTTTTCAGCTTCTCCGAGGCATTTGTTTAGACTTATGTTTTGACAGTTCGACAACCAGCTCTGCCACAAGGAGTCTATTTTGGGCAACACATGATTCGCCAGGTATAACTTTGACATTTTTGAATAGCCTTCGGTGTTGTTGCTTGACAACGAAAAAATCAATTTGCGTGGCTGATGGTCCACTTTTGTATGTTATGAGATGTTCCTGTTTTCAGTAAACAAAACCCGTGACTTTCGGCAAACTCAAGGATGCGGTTGCCATTTTCATTCCGCTCTCCATAGCCAAAACCGCCATGTACGTTGTCAAAATCATCTGTTTTATCTCCAACGTGGCCATTGAGATCGCCTCCAATCAGGATTGTTTCAGATTTTGGTATTGTTGAGATGGTGTCAGAGAACGCAGCCCAGAAGTCATTTTTCATCTCTTCTGATTCGCCTGTCTGTAGTGCGTATGCAGAAAAAATAATCATTGTTTGCTTTTCTAGGCGAAGCTTGATCCACATGAAACGTGAATTAATCCTTTTAATATCCAGTACTTCTTTGGCTAGCGGTTCTCTGACAAAAATTCCAACACCATTTTCGGCCGTCTTTTGACCATTCCAGAATAGTTTATATTTTTCTTTGTCTGAGTTGACATGACAAACACCATTCGATTTCCAGCGGGTCTCCTGAAGGCAGCAGATGTCAATCCTTTTACGCTCGAGCATTTCTACGATTTCCATGCTGCGGCCAGTCAGTGATCCAACATTGAGCGTTCCAAGTCTAAGTACCATAGAAGGGTCATTCTGAATTTTTCTGCAACATCCCTTCGCTATTGCATACTTCTCAGGGATTTTTGGCACCCCTTGACCTGCTGGGGACTAGGAGCCGTTGTTTTTCTTTGTGACGGCATAGGAATAATTTGGGGAAAAGTTTTTACATCCGGACACTCATACTGACGACAACCAGCAGATATAAGCGGTGGGCCTAGCCTTTTGCTCAAAAACACGCAATGCAGTGTGGATGGAGTTTTATGTCAAGCCCAGGACTTGAAGTAGAAGCTAGAAGTATTCCATTTATATAGTTGACATTTTTTATTACCTGATCCGTAGTGCATAACAGTACATTTTTCAATATTGAACCATAGAAGCCTGTCTTGTGTTCACTTAAATGCCTCAGTCAAATTATATTGAAGTTCGACTACAACGTTATCTGACGATATTGCTCTCATGATATTGGTATCATCTGCAAACAGTTTTGTTTTTTTTTTTCAGATTAGTTGGTATGAAGAGTAGAGAACCAATAACAGAGCACGGAGGAACACCACTAAAAATTTCAGTCCAGTCAGAAATAGTTTCACCTTGAACAATTCTTTGTCTTCTGTTTTTAAGAAAAGATTCAATTCATTTATACACCAATTCATTTATTAACAATTTTTTTGTTTATTTTTTGTTATTGATTTCTTATTATTCACAAGTTGTAAAATTTAATTTAAATTAACATTGCAGTGATAGTGAGATGTTCGTTACATGCGTTTAAGGAACTATGCTTGAAAAAATTAAGTTCCGGAGAAAAACCAAAATGTTTTTCTTAATATTACTTACTACGATAAAATTACATTATTTTATTCACACTGTTAGCATTTATTTTCAGTATTAAAGACGAGTGCCTTGCCTACCGCTAGACACAATCTTAAAAAAATATTTTCGGAGTAAAAAACTTTCAAATTCACATAACTTTTCAGTCAGATGAATAAAGGTTAATAGTTTGAAGGTCATAGTAAACGATACATAACAAAGCATGTGACCCGCGGAAATTTTTTCGTCATATTTTTTGTCACTGCAAAAAAGCACCAGACGATCTTAACCATTAGGCCATTACGCCGCCAATTTATGAAAAATAACTGATGAAAAATATCCGGCTCTGACACTGCTAAAAAATAACAGTGGATAAGAAGTTTTAAAATATAAAATAGTCTTGGCATTGGAAAACAATACTTTAATGTTAAATATGATAATACTGCTGGTATAGACAAATTTCACTAAGATTAACAAAGATTTTGACACAAAGTTATTTTGCAATTGCACTAGTGGTCTGTGGATATCATTACAGCTCACCAGAGTACATTCAAAAATTTTATAACAACTTTCAATAACATTGAGATAATAAATGTTTCTTATTATTTACATAAAATATTGTAACAGTCAAAAAATATAACGTACTTGAATATGCATGAAGAATAGAGCAAAAATGGTCAGAAAAAAAATATGGCAGACATGGACCAAAATTTCTTTCTTGGTAACATCATGCAAGGAATATTTGGATTTCAACTCGTAGTCATTTGTTAACTTTTTAATTAAACACCTTGGCATCATTTCCAAAAATACAGAACGATAAAATCGGTTTTTGAAATATGTTAAAACAAGATAGAAACAAATGAACAACATTGGGGAAGCCAGAAAAAAATTTGGCAACTGTTTAACTTGGTAATATTTCAAGAAACCCAGATTCCAATGGCTATTCTGAATGCTGGAATAACTTATAGGTACAGTCAGCTTGCACCACGGAGGAGATGGTGAATCGCCAAGTGTAAAGTATCCTTTTTCTTTACCATAGTTTCGTAATTCATTTGTTATTAGGTTTTTAAAGTGAGACTTGTTAACCTCACAATAAATGATGTAAGCAAACAATTGATAAAATATAAACCAAGAACAACATAGAAAAATATAGATAAAAAAAAGCAACAAATTGTGACAAAATGATAAATCAAATTTCAAAATGGCTTTGAGATGACTTTTTCTTGTAGTATATATGTCATATTCTTTCGCTTTTAGATATTTTTTATAGCACAAATGAAGAAAGTAATAGACGATGAATCCCATATTGACCAAACCATTAGATCGAGTTGCAGCACTTAGACCAAAAAGTATTGAAGCATGTAAAACTTTATTAGACTGCAATTTTAACAAACCAGCAAATGTGAGCAATGAAAAAAGTGACTCAGAATAAGCAGCAGAAAAAAATATACTGGCTGGATTCACACAAAACAACTGAGCAGCTCTGTAAGATAAATGTTCATTTTTCAGAACTGCCAGACCAAACTTATAAAGAGTCAGTGCAGAAAGAATGAACAATATGAAATTAATTAAAACTGCAACAATTTGCAATACATTTCGAATGGATAAAAAAAAAGTGAAAGGATAAAACAATGAAAATGTCAGAAGTTTGACTATGAGTGGAAATAGTGGGAAAAAAACCAATGTATTTTCAAAAGTATAACTATGCTCAGCAATATGTATGAAATATATAGCATCCCATCTATTTGTCAGTCCATCAAACAGCACTGACACAAACGTATTGGAAATATTAGTGGTGTGAGGTGGGTTAAATACATCAGCTTTATGATCTGGAATCATATAATTGAAAACTGCCTGAAAAAAAAATAAAACTAAATAAATAATTTAAAATAATTAAATGATTAGCCTCTCCACAATTTATCAAGCCCTCCAAAAATTATGATAAAATATAAACAAATAAACAATATTTATTATATTTTATGTATATTAAAATAAAACAGATTCCTCTAGTGTCATTTTTTTTAATTTTACAAGCACACAATTTTTTAGAAGGTAGGCAAAAAGCAAATTCAAGTAGCTCTGATTCATATTTCACTAATTTTTATTCACTTAATGCAGAGGTGGGCAAATTGCCATTTTGAGCTACCCGCAAACCTATAAAATTAATTTTTAGATTTTTTAACATCTTTAAACATTGAATCTGAAACTATAATTTCAAAAAAGGTTTGCATAGAGTGTTGTATTTTTGTCATTTTATTACTTTGACCTAGTCTTAGTATAGCATTAAAACTATTTTGTTAACCCTTTTCAATATTTGCGTGCAACTATTTTTACAGACAAGACAAACATATATATATATATATACAGCCCTCTCAACATTGCCTACACAAAAAGTTTGTCCACCCCTGACCTAGCATAACCAGAATCTTTCTTATACTTGGCAAGATTATTTGTAAATATTTTAAATAATTGGATAAGTCTGTCAGTTAGGCCTCATTCAGAAAAGTAAAATCAAAATACAGCAAAGATAAAGTTAGACATAAACAGTCAGCATAGCAAAAGGATTTTTTGCAATAGATCTTAAAAGGTCTTTTACACTCTTCTTATTTATTTATTTATTTATTTGAACAAAGCACGGGCTATTGCCCATTACCGAATTTACAGGAAAAAAAATACATAGTATTATACATGCATACCACGATACATTCGTACAACCCATGGGCAATCATTATAACCACGAAGATAATGCATTATACCATGGCAGATTGAAAATAATTTCCAAAAACAATAAATTAACACTAACAGTATCTTGAGTGTCACCATAAATGCAAACTTATAAACCAAGATATAATAAAATACTTTATCCATCTAACCCCATTAATCCCATCCTACACCTGAATAGCATAAAATTAACTACACATTTCCCATGGAATAGAAAAAATAAACAAACATTCATGCATCCATCTAATTTCCTTAACCTCCCCTACCCATATACCAACTCATATACCCACCTACTCATGAATCATTAATTATTATATCAGATAATTATATTAGAACCTAGAAATTTCATTAACTATTTACTAATCAATAAAAAAAAAACCAATCATATGAAAAACAATAATAATAATAAGAAAGTTATGAAGTCAATATAAAATATAATTAACCAAAAAATTTATAAATAAAATACGCACAGGCATTCAACCATAAAATGGGTAATGAAATAATCAATCCAAGTCAATCATACATATTCCCAGTCATTACTGATAAAAAATAAAACAAGTACATATTTTTACCTATATTTATGCTCATATTTTTACCATATGATAATTATTACATTAACCTCATAATAATGAGTATTATAAATGTTGCATAAGTAATTCTCTCATTAACCCACTCCCATCCATCCATGAAAAATTCTTATTCAATCATACTAATAGATTAAAAATCTCAAACCATTCCTACTTATCAACACACACATCCAATTGAACCGTCAGTTTAAAAGTATCACCTATATTGAAATTTAGCATCACCCCAAAACAAATCCAAACGAGATTTAAAAACACTTGTATTTGGAGAATCAACAACACACAAATATTGTATAATACTATAATATAATGATTGTATATTTTATAATATTGTATATACTTATATTTTATATAGTATATATAAGTATAATTTAATAGTATAATAAAAAAAATTATATATGAACAAAATTATACATGGACAAAACTAGATTAGTACTATTATAAATTATATTGCACACTGCTGGACAAATTAGAGTTGTTTTTTGCATCATAAAAATAAATCATTTATCATATATAATATATTTATATATAGTATAATATAATATAATAGTATAATATAATATAGTTTTTATAATTTTTTTTTATTAATTAAGGAAGCAGAACAGAACCACCTGTAAGCAAAATATGAAAATTCTCGATTGAATGGCAAAATACGTAATAAATAGACTTCTATCTTTTATTATATCCATTATTAAGCTAAAAACGATTCAAATTAAATTAATTATTAAATTAATTATTAAATTAAAGATCTTCGCCCCTCGCGACGGCGAAGAGCATACGAATCGGCGAAGCAGGTTCTTGATATAATTTGGATGCATATAACAAGCTAACAAGCTAGCCTGACGAAACCATATAGCCAGTATAAATATAACGGCCTTTGCTTACTTTTAACGGTCAAACAAGGAGCTTACTTCCGGAGGAAAGTTGAAAGGTGATTTTTTTATCGTTCGAGTCAAAAGTTACGATCGTATATTTACTAATTTAGGAATATTGCTGTTATTTAAAATGTTTTAAAAGGTTTTAAATTTTAATTTTTTAATTGTTATTCAATGTGGTAATTATTTTTATTTGGTATAAATTTAAAAACATAAAATCGACATTACCGAAAATAATTAAAAGTTTAAAAATTTGAGACTCTTTGCATAACCCTGCTTCAACCCATAAAAAAGTGTTGTATATTGATAAATAGGCCTCCCCTTGGACAAATCAATCAATCAATTAGCTTATAAAGCGCTATTTCCGCGATGTTCAACAGCGCTCCTCAATGAATTTTGAAAACAGATGGGTCTTGAGATCCGCTCTGAACTTCGCATTTGTTCAGAAGCAAAAAAGAATCCACCCAAATTACAAAACCACCGAGAAAACGTGCCGCCATCACGCTAAACGTAAACGATATGAAGAACCAAAGTGATAGATAAAATCTTTAAATCTTAAATAATATACACTCAGAATACCGATACCGGCCATAAAACGCACCCGTGCACATTTTCGACTCTAGAGTCTGGTCTTATTCTTTAGTTTCCATGAGTTTCCAAACTCATCAAGTTATTAAATATTTATTTATTTTTAAAAATTTTTTTTCATTTCAACTATTTTTTAATTGATTTTTTTCTGTTCAACTAAAAGCATTTGTTAAATGACGACAGTTTACGAAATGAAATTGCCGAATTTTACACTCTTGAAGAAATTTCTTATGGTAAAAAAACTCTTTCTTCAGAAATTGAAATATTGACTAAGAATAAAATTAAAAAATGATTGAAATGATTGGCCTCGTTCAACTTTCAATAGGAAACAAACTTTTTAAAAAGTTGCCTATTTTTCCAGATTTAATTTGGCACATATTCCGTGATGCCTGGTCTCAGAAAACAATAATTTTTTTGATAAAATAAATTTTCTGGAAAAAAGTTGAATGATAACCTTCTAATTAGTAAGCAAATGCAGGAATCAATCTCAGCAAATAAACCACCAGCGTTTAGACCAATTGTTTCTCAATCTCAAAACTAAATTGCTACATTTACTGCATCTTAGCAGCAGCTCGACCATATAAATAATAATCACTTCATGCAAAACAGATATGTCAACCCAGTCAAATCCAACTTATGTTCCAACAGCGCATCAGTTGTGAGTGAAAACAAATCAGGATTTGTTGTTGTACAGCTTCAAATAAAAGCTAGACAAAAACTTTTTAACAACAATTCCTATGTTAATAAAAAACAACTAATTGGGTCAAATTTCTAAAAAAAATTGATGCCAGCAAAAACATTTCAAGTTGGTAAATTAAACATCACTAACTGGGCTAGTGATGTTTAATTCAGCTACTCAGCTACTTAGACATGGCCAACTCAAAACTCCGTGGCATGAAAAAGCATAATGTTTTATACTTAGGTAGAATAAGCCCATGCACTAGTGTTATAGTTGAATATCATCTGAGGGGTTTTGCTGTAAAATTTTTTTAGAAAGTATTTCATTCAGAATCTGCATACCGGAAAATGAAAGAAACAAAATTTTTAACTCTGACATTTGGCCACTTCATGCCATAGTCAGAGACTGGATATTCAATACTGGTACTAACAAGAACACAAAGAACAATAATGTTAGTAACAACAAGAACACAAACAACGATAGTGCTAGTAACAACATCATAAACAACAATAATGCTAATAACAACAACATAGTTGATAAATGCTCTGACAATATAAATACAAATGATGAATCACGCAATTATTGTAGCTTATGACAACAAAAATGTGACCCAATTAAATATCAATGCTAATAACTGGTGTAAACGAACATGATGAGAATTTTTGTTAAATTGAAAGTGTTAAGAAGCATGTGCTGCTAACATATTTTTTTGACTATAGAGCAACGATCATTACAACAGTAACTTATCGAAACAGATGCAAAAAGGCAAAAAACTTATCATTGCAAACAATGGCAATGTTTACTCAAACTTCTCAAAGGACTTAAAGTTTGATGATATTTACAAATGCCAAGAATGTTATCTCCAATATTGTTTGTTTATTGAACAAACAAAATTGTTTTACTAACTTATAGCCACGCACGTGCCGTATTATTCCTGTCCAAATTTTGTTTACATCACCGTCGGCAGGTATCATTTATCGTCATTACTGTACTCATTATTTTTGTACGTTGAACTCTCAATTTTTCCACTAAATATTTTCCCACTGACATCTTCATTAAAGCTTATTTTTTAGTTATAACGTTAAAAAACAATTTTTTTAACTTTTCAAAGAACTAAATTATCGAAAAATTTTGGTTTTATCAGGGTGTTGGTGTCAGATGGAAATTTGTCCGACTTGTGCTCCGACTTTTAGGCTGAAAATTTTTCCAACATAAATTTCTTAAAAAGTTTTCAGACTTTCGTCTCCGGTATGTGACACCAAAGCAATTTTTTAAATGTTTAAAAAATACCACCCCCATTTCACAATAAAATATAAATTTTTTAACATGCAAAATCAGTTAGTATACTTTTTTGTTGTTTTTCTTTATATTTTAATTAAAATATTGAACAAAACTAAAAATTAATGTAAAAAGATCTAACTTTATTAT